TCTGAACACTGGCACTCAAGATCTGGAACGGTCCAGTTGTTTTGCATTTTCTCGAGTTTTCCTTTTTTAAATCATTTTTACACACCAAATTTATGGTATTTACTATTATAATAATCTAAATCTGATATTATTAATAAGTTAAAGAAAATCAGCTTGTGTTGAGACCGAGATATATACATTTCAAAAACAACTTATAAGCGTGATATCCTTTCAACGACTATGGCGTAATAAATGTAATCGAGGTGTCACCTATGGCTGCCACATAGATTCTATATATTTATGTTCAGAATTTGAGGCCCGATCATTGAATCATATGCACTGCTGAATACAGGATGCAACTTATTCGAGGTCAATCATGATTTTTGGCACGGTTATGTACATTTAAAAACGTGTGTCAGTGCAAATTCGACAAAATCATATATTTTCAGTTATACCGCGAACGAATGTTTCTGAGCAGTAAGGTGTAACGCGATTGTTATGTTTTTCGTAAACTTACATATTCAAGTGCAGAACAGAGACAAAATTATGAAATGCACGGGTAACATTAATTTAAATGGATCACTACTACCGAGTTCAATTTACTATGACTTCCTGTAATTAAAAGCTCTACTGTAACGTACATGTTCAGGTCAAACACAAATGAGCCACGTTTTCATGAAATTGAAAGACTTTTGTAAGGTGGAGAATCTCTACGAAAATGGTTGACAAAGTGTCAGTGGTTCTAATGATATAACACGTGTCTCAGTGTTTCAGTTATGTTTTAAGATTCCCTCTCTTATTTAGAATTGTTGTTTAGTTTATTATATTCCTCTCAAAGCGTAAATAGAGCTGTTTACTTTTATCATCAAACACTGTCTATTGTCAGAAACAAATAAGTTAAAAAAAAGGAAAATTTTGTTTGTTTATTCATATACACTTAACAAAAGTTCTAACCGATCACTTTTTAAATTTTGATTATTTTATAACGTATCAATAGATCCTTATAAAATTTTGCAGAGGTGATTTGTGTGTCATTTTCTACCGATTTGTGGAATGAAAAATAATTTAATACGGTTCCATGCACTCACGCGGGAGACAGGGCGCGGTTTACACATTTTGGCACGAAATGTTCGTGCAGAGCGTGGTGAGTATTAAATTTTACATTGCATAAATCCTTGTTAACTTTATAAGTGAAAAAACATAAAACATGGCACGAATGTCGATGCAGGATCGTGCCGTAGCAGTTGGAATGTTGAATGCTGGAGCCTCTATCAGACAGGTGAGTGGCTGTTCATAAAAATATTTTTTTTAAAATATCGATAAAGTATTATTTAAATAGAAAATGTTATAATTTTATTATTCTCAATGTGTTCATTCTCTTCGAAATAAAATAAAAGTCGGATCTATTGGTATTATTCTTTTTCACATATAAGCGAAAACTCAGGGTGATCGGTTAGAACTTTTGTTCAGTGTAGTGTCTATGAACAAAGCGAACGTAATAAAATGGCAATGCTCAGTCGGTGTGCGAACTAAAATTATCAATAATTGATAGACCTAGTTACAGTAGAAATAAATTAATATATTATAATATTTGTCCGGCTTCACATTTTAGTACGTCTATTTGCACTTTGAATGATTTTATTTATAGAAATTAGTACGCTCTTTACACCAATTTAATATCGCCTTGCGCCCAACAACCGACCTGTCGCTCCACTACTTTGGAAAAATATCAGTATTCAAATTCAAGAAATCAACCAAGAGTATTTTATTTTGCACGAAAGACAAGCTCTTGTTACGGGTTGATATTTTCCTAAAATACTTTTTCAAGAAATCGGAAGTGTAGAGCGTTTCCGTGGTTGGAAGTTTGATATTTAACAAATCGTCGTTCACTTCCTCTTTTTGTAACAGTTTAGATCATTGGTAGCTTAAAACAATCCTACACGGAACAACATTGATCGATTTTTGAAAAAATACAAACTAAATGAAATACAAGTTACAATTAGCCGTTATATCGGCCTTCCGCTCTATCTCGGAAATGCCGGTCTCTCGTTTCACCGTACACAACTTACAATTTTGAAGTGGAGCGACAGTTTGTCGGGTGTGATAAATGTGGGTGTAATGATTCACGAATGTTTTTCTGAAGACGTTTCTAATAAAATGAAAATTTTATTGTCTTTCTACACGTCAATTTTAAGTAAAATTAAAGTCATTTGTTTTAACACATGTGGATATAGGTTCATGTTGTTTGTTATTGTTTCCTACTTACTGCGGATAATTCAGCATCTTACAAACAACCTTTGCTGACGGCACTTTAAATTCATCATCGCATACTGTTCCCCAAGTCCCACCATGCCGTATTTCCAGTCTCCCTTCATATTGATTTGACCCTCCAACTAATCGAACTTCAAAAATAGAAAAAGTATTGAACAACAATAATTATAAATTTGAAATCTTGAACTTATAAAGTGTAAAACATAATTATTGGACAAAATTAAAAAAAAAACACCACAATTTATTTCAACAACTTAGTATATATTTTAAATGACACAGATTAACATTTTTGCAACAGATGCGTGTATTTAATGTTTCAGTGCAATCCCTAACTGCAACATTTAATTCACACATCAATTTCTTCATCTGTCAGTACATCAGACACATACATGTATAGATAGATACAACAACAATAAAGTCAGAAACATGTTAGAGTACAACGAAACTTAAATGTAATAATTTATACGACCTCTACCACCAGTTTACGAATAATTTATATACACTTACATAAGAACCAAATCCCGAATGATCACAAGAAAGGTGATAAAATAGAAGGCAACATTTTAGCTGTTCAGCTGATGTACAACACTCACAAGTAGTTAGTTTAATCGAGGTATTTCCAATTATCACGGTTAAAAATGATATTGACTTCTGTTCAAATTGTTCAAACGATAAGGATTGTTTGGTTTCTATATCAACTTATACATGTACCGACAAATTGTCTACAACTATAACTAGATTTATTTTAAGAGGATGTGAGGAGCTGTATATTGATAGCGATAAGTAAACAATTGATTACACTATAATTTGTCATTTGAGCAAAAACCTAAAAAGAAAAAGAAAAACCCGTGTTCTTTTAATCAGTACACAAGTTGTTGCTTCACGTTTCCTTGCTTCTTATTTCAAACATGATCTTTAATGTTTAATCTTTGAGTCTGTTTTAGCTCTTGGAGAAATTTATTTTGTATATAATTCCTATATAATTTCATTTCCAATTAATTGTGAAATGTAATACTTGATTTTTCCCGCAGGTCATAATCCAAACCTATCCCAGGCCTATATTTACCACATTCATTAAGTGGGTCCAGATTGCCCGAGTGAACATTAGCCAATAAAAGTTATAAAAACACGCCCGTTTAACTCACAACGATTGTAAAATGTCAATCGGTAAAAATGTTGTGAGCAACTTCCGTTCCTCGTTGTGAGCACCCATCTATGACGTGTGACACGATAAACAAGGTGAGTTTTTCATAATTTTTGAAGATTACAGACATATATGTAAAAATATCGGAATGCAGTTAGCTAGCGATGTGTTTTCCGAGTGTGCACATGTAAAGATATTGGCTGTTGGTGGACAATTTGATGGAAATACCGTGCGACGCAGTTACTCGGGGTAGCTGGAAAACTGGAGACAACTTCTCTCCGGACCAAATTTAACATTGAAAACGTCGATTCTGGTGAAGTTTTGTGCATTCTAACCTAAAACAGATGCCCACAGGTCTTCAGCGTAAATTATTACCTGAAAGTCGTCATAGAAACGAGATATACCCTTTTTTGCTTTAATGCTCGTTGTGAGCACCATAACCTCGTTGTGAGCAAGACAAGCGCAGTGCGTGTCTGGTTTTAATATGTAATTCAGATGGTGAAAATATAATTTTCAATCTACCAAAGCAATTAAAACGTTTTTGCACAGCAGCATTACTTTGCAAGACGTTGTGCATACCCCGAAGGAAGGCATATTGGTTTTGAACTGTCCGTCCGTCAGTCCGTCAATCCGTCATTGGCCATAACTTCCTTTCCTTATTGTCTCCAGTTTTCCAGCTACCCCGAGTAACTGCGTCGCACGGTATTTCCATCAAATTGTCCACCAACAGGCAATATCTTTACATGTGCATACTCGGAAAACACATCGCTAGCTAACTGCATTCCGATATTTTTACATAAATGTCTGTAATCTTCAAAAATTATGAAAAACTCACCTTGTTTATCGTGTCACACGTCACGAGGAACGGAAGTTGCTCACAACATTTTTACCGATGGACATTTTACACTCGTTGTGAGTTAAACGGGCGTGAAAAATGTATCCTGGATAAATTCCATTGATATTTTATGCTCAATATTTTCAGACCATTTCCTAAATTTTGCGATGAAGACAATTTGAAATATGTCTTAAAAGTTTTGAAAAAAAGGTATTTCAAAGGATCAATGAAACTGGGCAGTCACTGAACATGATACAATGTCAATAAATCTGGTTAGAAACTATCACAATGTCCATTCATATTCATCAAAAACGACACAGTTTAGGAAGGGATTGTTTCTTGCAAGTACCTTGACCATTTGTACATTTCAGTAAGAGTGAAAACTGCCATGCAAGTGCATTTTGTTGAAAAAGAAAATTAACCATTCTGAAGTTTCCTCTTTAAAGTGGTTAGGACGCCGAGGGAACAATGTATCATAGAAATGTATAACGTTTGAATTCGTTATAAAAACATTGGTACCTATTAAGATATTTCCTATTTGTTACAGTTATAACGTGAGTTTAATAACTTAATGCTTATAAAATTTAAGATATAAGAGTATTTATGCAACTTATCAGATAAGTCTAAACATGCCTTTTTACAAAGTTCTTGAAGATCAACTGAAAAAGCTTGAAGATATTAAGTTAGAAAGGTTAATGTTTAATTTTAAATATCCAGCTCCCCTAAACTGTGATTTTTGTCATATTATTAGCAATCTTATCATTACGTATCGTTATAAAAGAGCAAATTCGTTTAAATCATTTAAGAAACATTAGATAAAATAGTGAAATTTGCAATAAAATAATTTTATTGTACTTAAAGAAAATCTCAGAAGGATTACCCTGTGTACATGATATGCCGACATCGTTATTGTGATTACAATTATTAGCTCCTAAATCAATATGCGGGCATTGGAATAACGTTTTTTCAGTTCCCGTACATCTAACACCGTCAAAATGAATTGGCAACGTTCCGGCGCCGTAATATGCAGAACTGAATACAACAGGATCAGTCCTAAAATGATTATAATAAAAATATAATTTAATTGTCGCATTTAATCATATCACAAGAACGTGTTTGTTAAACACAATTGTCCCCGACTCAGATTCTTGTCAGTAACAATATTTAAAAACAATGTTTACCCTTTTATTCAGTTATGGACAGAAAGATTGCCAATAAAATTGTAAACAAAGTTATATAACTTGATAGAGTGATAGCGTTTTGTAATAGTGAAAAATATAAGTTGACAAGTCATTGCTATGACTTGTGATGAAGTTGAAAAATATTCAACTTTATCAAATATAAATAAATGCAAGACTTTAGCTTAAACTCAGTGACCCCAAACTCCTTTCAAACTTAAATCAACCTTATGTATGTTTCTTGTAAATATGAGACATTGACAAACTAAGTACAAGGGCTGTATAAAAAGTATAAAATTCTATTGTTACCACAGATGACGTTGACCTAGTGACTCAAAGCACTAGACCATCCTTCCAAATATGAAACACCTCAGTCTATATATAAAGGTTGTATAAGACCTACTGACCTCTGATTCAATCCTTAAAAAAAGACTTTGCAAGATATATTCCTACCAGATATGAAAGACATATGTCCACAAATAAAGGCTGTGTGGGCAAAAGCGTAAAATCAATTCTTAGCATTGGTGACCTTGATCCATCTGACCCCTAACTCAATCCAAATGATGCATGTTATCCTTTAAAATATGAAAACACCTGTCAAAAAATAAAGGCAAATGTGTAGAAATATATTATTTGCACCTTTGACCTTGACCACAACCCCTAAATCATTCGAAAGGAAACATACCATGCGAGTTATCTTCTTAACAAATATGACACATCTGTCTATAAAAAAAGCTATATGGGCAAAAGTGTAAACAAATCTTTTTGTAGCACTGGTGACCTTGACCCATCTAAGCTCTAACTCAATCCAAATGTAGAAGACTATACGTCAAGCTATCACCGTACTAAATATAACAATTATCATTCAAAAAATAAAGAATGTATAAACAATCGTGAAGAAATCTAAAATATGCACACTTGACCTTGATCTTATTGACCTCTACCTCTATCATAAGGAAGAATATCATGCAAGTTATCTTCCTACCAAATATGAAAAGCATCTGTCAATAACTAAAGGCTGTATGGGTAAAAGTGTAAAAATCTATTTTAACACTGGATGGTGACCTTGACCCATTTGACCCCTAACTCCATCAAAAGGAAGAATACCATGCAATTGATCTTCCGTCCAAACATGAAAAAAATCTGTCAATAAATAAAGAATAAAGACTGTATGGGCAAACGTGTAAAAATCTATTTTAAGAGATGGTGACCTTGACCCAACTGACCACAAACTACATTCAAAAGAAGAATACCATGCAAGTTATCTTCCTACCAAATATTGTATACATCTCAAAAAATAAAGGCTTTATGGGCAAAAGTGCAACAATCTATATTTAGCATTGGTGACCTTAAAGTAAGAATACCATGCAAGTTATCTTCTTACCAGATATGAAATACATAAGTCAAAAGCTAAAAGCTGTATGAGCAAAAGTGTAAATATCTATTTTAAGCACTGCTGACCTTTGAACCAACTGACCCCTAGCTCCATAAATAGGAGAAGACCTGAATTTTATGTTCCTATCAAATATTAATGACATGTGTTAATAGAATAAGGTTAAAACACATGTAAAAATGTAAAAAAATCTATTTTTGACATTATTAACATTGACTTTGACTCCAAATGACCCCTACCACAACCAAAGTAAGGAGGTATGTTTGTATTAAACATGAAAGATATCGACTTAAAAATAAAGGCTGTATGAGCAAAATGTTAAAATTTATTTTTTACACCACTGACCTTGAACTTAACCCTTGAGACCCATAACTCCACTAAAAATTAAAGGACCATCTACCAAATATAAAAAATATCATATAATACAATGAGTAATTAGGAGAAGTTTCAAGATAAATCCAGCTTGCCGGAATAGATTAACCATACAATGCCCTATTTTCAAAGATTTTTAAAGGTAAATAACTGGGATAAATGGAGGCACACTTATATTACTTGTCAATATCATGTAGTTTGTAGCGATAAGTAAAAGTGGAAATTATAAAGCCATTTGTATACATATAAATTCAGATATTTTCAACTTGCCGGTTTAGGTTAACCATTTTTCATTTTGTAAGTGCCGAAAAAGGCAATAACTTAAATATGGAAGCAATAGTTATGTTACTTGCCCAGATTATGAACTTTGTATCAATTAGTATGTGTGTAAATTATGAATCCATTGGTACAGGTAGAACTTAAGAAAAATCAAACAGTCCGTTCTAGGTTAACATCGTACGGACAGACGGACTGAAGGAGGGACACGCGGACGGACGGTTCAATAACTATATGTCCGGGGGCATGAAAATTCATTCATTTTCTAAAACATATTATAATATTTTGCCTAAGACGAACACTTCAGAAAAGTTTATTGCCTTCAGAGTCTATTAAAGATATAATATACTCATTCTTGAGTAAAATATTTTAAACATTGATATATATTTAAATCTATTAAATTCCTAATAAATATGTCTAAGTTGAATAAAAGAATGAATAAACTGCACTGTATATTTAACAAGCTGCTTTACCTACCGATTAAAGGTATTTTCTTAAAACAACTGCCAGTTTTTAATGATACAATATAGTCATATTGTGACTAGATACAATATAGTCATATTGTGACCACCTAAAGTTTGTAGAATTTTAAAAAATAACATATCTACTTTGTGTGAAGTCAAAACATGTTTATTTCTTTACAAAGAGACTGTGTAGCAATTATCAATATTGCCATTTATCAGATTTGAGCATTGCGTATCTTTACATATTTTATACTAGCAAATGTAAGAAGAGTTATTTAATATTTTATCGTAATCATTTTTACATAATTATCTTTTAATTCCTTCTTATAAAAAAGCCACAACAGTCGAACTTAAATTCAACAAGCTATTATCAAAGTATTGCAAGCAATCCATAAGTCCCCTACCGGTTAGAACCCCAGCAACTTTCTGAAGGGCCATTGAATTATGTCATTGAATGAATGAATGACATGAATAAACTTAAAGCTTTTTAGTTCTTAGTTTATCTGTATCTAAGTAATATGTCAAGTTTCCCTAATTATGTTTATAGAACAGATAAACAAAAGATCCAATTTTCTTAGGATGAATATGTGTAACAGATGTTTCAACTTTTCTCTATTTTAAGTTAATTTGTTGGAAAAGTTCCAATGTCTTTAAAAGTGATCTCAGGAATCAGTTTATAGAAACGGACAGACAAACCAATTGACAGAGACTCGGAGGATAAATTTTTAAACATCCCTGGTTGTTACCAGAATATAACATTTTTAAAAGCAAAATTCTTAAACTAAGAGGAGATAACTCTTGAAATAAAGATTCTTGACTTATGAACATTTTCATACATGATGTGAGTGTAACAAAGAACAATTATCTCAAGGTTAAAGAAGATACCATTTATAACCACAAAAAGAAAAGTGAAATATATACCATTTATAGTTACAAAGAACAAAATTAAAAGAAAAAATCTAATAAACTTCAAGTTGATATGAAAATAATCATGGAAACACATGTCTTATAAATCTAATCACATACGAAGAAAGTCTTGATTATGAATGTCTTTTTTTTTAATTTAAAGAATGAATAAATGGAGAAATAAGAAAGTTAAAGAATGAGAATGAAAACTTCAATGTTTAAGGAGAAGATAATTCTGATGTTGCAGTTTGAAGGAAATGCTAAATGAAATGAAGAAGTTTGAGTAAAATATAATAATTTCTAGAAAACAAATTAAGTTCAAGGGGGACATAATTCTGGAAATTGTCAAGCTATAGAGTTTGAACCATATCCCAAATGACTTGAGTAAACATATGACATATATATGAAATAAAGAATTTTTAACAAAATCTTTTTTTTTCATGAAAATTCTAAGTTCAAGGGGGGTAATTCTGAAATTTTTGTTCTAGAGTTGTAAACCTTGTTACATATGATGAGGTTGATGATCAGAAACATATTTTTTTAGTTTGATAAAAATGTTTTCCTTACTTTTTGGATTTTGACAAATATTGTTATATTTTCCATATTTTAAGCCTGTTTGTTGCCATAGCTATCAAATTTTTCAATATAGGAAGAAAAGAAAAAAACGTGCATAACCTCCATTCTGCCATCTATCAATATATCAAGTTTCATAAAATATTTTTAGTAATTTTTGGGTTATCGCGGGATCCACTTAATGTGTTAAATTAGCAATATTTTCAGTCTATTTGTTGCCATAGCAAACTTATTTTTCAACATAGGAAGAAAAGAAAAAACATGCATAATCTTCAGACTTCCATCTATCCATATATCAGGCTTCATAAAAATATTTTCAGTACTCTTTGCATTATCGCGGGATCCAATATTGCGGACGGACGGACTGACGGACGGCCGGCCAGACGGACGTTAACCTAAAGTCCCCTCTAATTAAATCGGTAGGGGACTAATAATTTGTGTGCAAAGGCATTCAATGATAGTTCGTGAATTATGTGTTCTTGAACTTTGCCAATTACCAAAAACAAACATAAAATTGAACACATTCCTGCAAGCGCACATCATATAGCATATTTTCCTTTACAGGATGCAAACATCTTAATACTCAATACTTCAACTTAATACTCTAAATACCAGTATTTACATATATCGCCACTCTATTATATTTCTCAAAGAATGTTGTACTAATTTGTTCCCAAAGGCAAATAATGTCTCAGAAACAAATAATATTTTTCTTTAGAAAAGTCAACTAAGATATTTAAAATGTTTAATTGATGGTTTTAAATTTTATCGCCTGTCCAAGAAGTGCCGAGTTTAAGATAATTTACATAAAAGTAGCTAAATGTATGCAAAGTAATATTAAGACTTCAATACAAGTACTTAATGACTATAACTGCACTTATTGCAAACAAGCAACAGGAGTAGGTTAAGTGATTGGTAAATTGGTTACTTTTTGAAAACAATAGCAGGATACAAACTTGAGAAGGCATTTATGGAATAAAAAACAAAACAAAATTCTGGGATATAATGAATATTAAAGGTCAGTGGTCAATTTTTAACATTGACAAAATGCTTATTCAAAATTGGCCATTTCACAACGGGGACGGGCTATTTTTTAACGGTGTCAAAATTTAATGCCACAAATTTTAAACATGTTACTTATTTTTAATTGATATAGGTCAGATGTCTGGTGTATTGTATGAAACGGGAAACGGAAACAACAAATTATGATTAAAGTTACGTTTGCCGTGTCAGTATATTCAGGATAATGTTGGCTTATTACAAGCAATACGTGTGTATCTTTAGTGTCGATAATGCCGATGTTAACTACCAAAATGACAGAAAAATAGCACAGTTGATGATATTCAAAATTTCCACAACCACGTGTACAACTACAAATGTGTCCATAAATCACGGATGCCCCCACACTCCACTGTTTTGTCAGTCATCTTACGTACAGCAGGGGGATCACAGAGGGTCAGACAAAGGAAACTCTAAATAACTTCCCCCATTGGTCGGGGCATAAAAACGACATCTTGTTTTGTCTCAATATTAAGAATTTCATATCTCAAATGCATACTCTAAAGTATGCCTAAAGCAGAATGACTCCGGATGAGCAAAAATAGTTCAATAAATTAAACTTGAGAAACATGTACTAAGAGGTTAGGAAAAGTAGAAAGATTCAAGATACATTTAGACATTCCAGTAAAGTTTAATGACTTAAGGTCAATACTTTTTGAGCTACGAGCGACACGTTTTTTCTGAGTCAAGGACAATAAGTCTGACAAAACTGAATTAATCCACTTGCGAAACATCAACATATAAAATACAGTTGTACTTCCCTTTCGTGGGATCAGATAAAGATACAAGTGTGCAGATAAATTATTATAGAAATGAGAGAATATATACACACATACCACCACATCTCCCTTTATATATATACTTTATCTGTCTAAATGCATTGTATCCTGCGGATCTACTTGATTTACGGATCCAGTTGACTTTCGGAAATAGATAATAGTTTTCTGGTCCCAATCAGTGAAGAAGACAATAAAAATGTCATCATTGATTTGTGAGACATGATAACAGAGAACAAACTCTGTATATGCAAATGTTGAGCCAGTTTAAATGTGTAGTGCAGTTTGTGACTGTATATAAAGCTGTTCTGAAACCATCATTTTTGTGATGGCGGATGAGCAGTGGCTATGCTTTCATGAGTGTTCTGCTAGGCGTTGTGCCGTAATTGGACTGGCATATCGATGTGGTGGTATGTGTGTATATATATGATGGTACTATTTTTTCGAAACATGAAGTAGTTAAACGCTATTAGGAAATCAATAATTAAAAAAGGAATAAACCACTGTTCGTAGTGTTAAATGTAGCGTAAATGATTTTTCGGATTTTTCCTTTTACCAATTTGTTTACCTAACTGTTAATTTTTCGTTTGAGTAAAAGCGTATTTTGAAGCAGAGCATGCGGATAACAATTGTGTAAACTGGTTCTTATGATTTTAGGATTTAAATGAGAATGATTAACTTTAGTTTGCTACGCAAAAGTGGATGCCACAGGACATCATTCTCATCACTGCGGAAAGGTCTGATAACATTTGTGATTAGTAGTAATTCTTCTATAAGGGGACAGATGACATATTGGAACAACTGTTTCGGTGAAATTTATTAATAATACAGACATCGTGTTTTGGAGCAACTGAAAAAGTTTACTCTTTCCAACAGCTTGAAAAATGTAAGTATAAGTGTAATTGTGAATATTAATATATACAGATCACTCTTAATATGTATGTAAATCTTTGCTAAAATAAGATTTTCTTTTGTTAGTTACTTACAATGAATAATGTAGCATCTTACAAACAACAATTGCTGACAGCACATCAAACCCATCATCGCATACTGTTCCCCATGATCCATTTTGCCATACTTCCAGTCTCCCTTCGTATTGACCTAACCCGTTTACCAATCGAACTATAAAAATACATACTTTTTTAAACAACTACACCGCATGTCGTCATATAATTATGATAATTATGATAATAATTATAGTGATGATGATAGTGGTGGTGGTGATAGTAATAATTATCATTATTTCTAAGAGCTGATGTATGAAGTCATAAAAATGTATATGTTTAAGGTAAAAATAATATTAATTATTTTTTGAACGGTGATAGTGTCTTTTATATCATTATAGAATGTGGTTTCATGTTGAATTTACAGAAAAACCTTTTCAAAAGGTAAAACGGTTTTAAATTTTAATTTGACTTAATTCAAGTACTGTGTCTAAATTGTGTATTCTGAAACAGTTTTAATCAGACAAAGGTTACCTGGTGCACATGAAATACCAACATCTTCATTGTGGCTACAATCATGAGTTCCCCAAATCCTTTTTAGACATTGATTTAAGCTTGTTTCACTTCCAGTGCATTGAACATTGTCTAAAAGTATTGGTAATGTTCCACCGCCGAAGTGAGCTTCCGCAAATACTCGAGGATTAGTTCTAAAATGATTACTTGAAATTATTGCAATTTTCGATTTTAATGCCACTTTCAAATCAATTCCATCTCTTGAATTTATACTACTTTGCCATAAAAATGAATACATTTCATTCTAGAATCAAATAGATACTTAAGTGCTTTTGCCTCCTAAGTTTTTGTTCCAAACGTCTAAAATCATATCTGCCGTAAGTCAATTACGTTCGAAACAATCAGAAAAGAAAAACAATTTAATGCATGCATACTATTTAAGCCAATGGCTCTTTATTTTAATAATCATCGTTTTGGTCGTCGTACACCTGGATCATTGGTGAGATTTTGATCAAATGCGAAATTTAAAAATATTGCTGCTTTGTGTAACAGAATATTGTGAGAGGCTGCGTCCCGTTGTGGTGGAGTATACTTTAATTACACTTTTTTACGCCAGTCACAAGAAAGACTTTAATAGAGAGCACAAACACTGAACTATAATTTCCAATCTTTTATTTCGCTAACACTGTATAATTTTAAAGCCGAAAGAACACAATATACATGAATTTTGAACCTAAATACTATCCATAATAACTTGAAATCCTTAGAAGCTCTGTCTCGTGACACTGAAATTTTACTTATATAGCAAAGAAATAATTCCCGCCAAAACACAAATATCACGAGAAAGTCAAGAAACATGATTTATGACAAAATACTCCGCCGGATTATAACAAAGTACTCCGCCGGAGAACATATCTACAATAATGTGTTAAGGTTATGCCGGAGCATAACATTTAGTAAAACAAAATTATGAGGTCACCGGAAAAATTTTTTGGAAAGCATGTCATATAATTTCGCGATCCTCGCGACATTCCCCACAAAACATAAACAAGCAAATGTCTTTACTTGATCAATAAGTATCATTAATACAAAACAAATCAAAGCACAAATGTTTAAACAAATTGTAATACAAATAAGCATCTTTTATGCGAACTAATGTCTGTTAAATGAGTGATAAAGAGTCACATAATATTTTTATAATAAACACTGTTCCTCATATTTTAATATGACAAGCAATAAATCATATATATTTAAATTTTGCAGGTTTGCAACCATCCCACGACGATAATGATAATATACATTTTCTCTGTTCATTTTTTTATTTATTAACTACTTCAATTGGATATAGGAGATTTAATGGTCGTTTTATCACTTTTCTGGATGATGTCAGTAAATCGGCTGAACGTATATTTCCATCTCGACTACTATTCAAAGTTGTTACTTTTCCAAATTTCCATTGTCCGCGGGAAACATCATCCTTTATAAGCACTATATCACTAACACTAGGACAAAAATGCGATTCAATTCGCGGTGATTTTAATTTGCTTTGCATTCTCTCTCGCGAAGACTTAATAGATATTCGTTGCGCCATATGTGCCAAAATGTTGTCCAAGAGTTTTTGACCTTTTTTCCAAATGTTTAAAAGTTTTTCAGCATTGCTTTCATAAGGTACATAATCGGGATCATTATCATCACACTCCGTACATGGTATTCCCAGTAAAAGGATTCAAGCAAATGAAATGCTTTGGAGTCAATGCAATTGAAGACTTTAAATCACTTCCAATATAAACTAAAGGTCGCGAATTCACAACAGCTTCACATTCTTTTAGTATTGTCGTCATCTGTTCTAGCGATAGGAGTTTTCTGCCAATTGTTTTTCTTAAAGCACGTTTTACAATGCCGATAAGGCGTTCATAAAAGCCGCCCATCCAAGGGGCCAACTCCACGATGAATGTCCATTTGATGCCGATATTTGATGTATAATTTTGAACGTCTTCGTCTTCCACTGCTGTTTTCCATACTTGCTTGATAATATCACTCGAAAGTTTGAATTGTTTTGCGTTATCACTTATAAGTTCCACAGGCGTTCCTCTTGTAGCTATAAATCTTTTTAAGCACATCAAAAAACTATTGGCTGTCATATCTCGTACAACTTCGAGGTGTACAGCACGAGTTACAAGACATGTAAATAGACACACCCATACCTTTTCTTTCACTTTATCTTCTTTTATATATAATGGTCCGAGATAATCAAGACCAACTCTAGTAAATGGCGTAGCCTGTGATACGCGTGACTTCGGCAACGGAGCCATTGGTGGAAGCTTATATGGGCCTCCTTCAAATCTGCGACATATTCTGCATTTCTTTAATACTTTTCCAACTGAAGCTCTGCCATGTGGTATCCAATATCTTTGCCTAACTTCACTAAGTGTTTGCGAAACTCCACTGTGCAATATTCTACAGTGTGTTCTTTCAATAATAAGACACGTCACTCTTTCTCCGGAAGGCAGCAAAATTGGAAATCTTGCTGCTTCATTAAAACTTGAATGTAGCAAACGACTACCGCATCTTAATACACCATTACTATCGATGAATAGGTCGAGCTGTCTAATTAGATTATTTGTCTTTTTAACTTTGATTAACTCCAGTTCCTCAGAATAGTGTTTCAATTGAAGATATTTTACCCACAAATCCTCTGCTTCTTCTAATTCGCTGCAAGAAAGATATCCAGTTGTGGAATTTTTTTCACAAATATTCCTTATAAAACGTTTGCACCATGCTGTTACTCGTATTAACTTGGTAACTGAAGAATATTTGTCTTCGTCAATATTGAACGGAGAATTGATGTACATCTTTTGTTTGGTTAAAACACTTTCTTGTTTTAATTCTGATGAACATAATTCAACATTTTCACATTTATTCACTTCATGCTCAGTGGTATCATTTGTTAGCTCATTTTTGTCTAAATTTGTGCAGTGAAGATATGGTGAATCATCCATTGACTGAATATTCATATAAGTCTAACTTTCAATTGGATTCTGCAACCATTTTGGACCGTTCCACCATATACTCTCTTCTAGTTTCGATAGTGTGCATCCTCTACTGGCAATATCTGCAGGGTTATGATTCGTGTTGACGTAATGGAATTCTATGTCATCATGCTCTCTAATTTCATTCACTCTGTTTTTAATGAATGTTGGAAGCTTCTTTTCAGATTTAATCCATTGTAATACACACTGCGAATCTGTCATTATCACCATTGAAGTAAGCAACACTTTCAATTGGGCTGCTACAAATTTTACACATCTGACTCCAATAAGAACTGCTAAGAGTTCAAGTCTAGGTATTGACATTCCTTTCAACGGAGCTAGTCTATTTTTGCTGAATATAAGATCTACTTTAGTTGATTTGTTTGACTCCTGTCGAAGATAGATTGTTGTAGCATATGCTTTGATAGAAGCATCACAAAAGCATATAAGCATGTTTTTAGCACCAACTTTTCCGTTTGAATTTCCTACATGTCTGTTTATTTTCACATTTTCTATCTTCAAAAGATCACTTTTTATTTCAAGCCACTCAGTCACATCTTCTTTGTGAAGTATATCATCCCAGTCCAGGTGTTTGCTCCACACCTTTTGGAGTAAAACCTTTCCTCTCATTGTAATAGGAGCAAATAATCCTAATGGGTCAAATACCGATGCTACTTGTTTCAACACATTCCTTTTTGATAGTGATAGCTCTTCACGCAGAGTCTTCGATCCTTGATTAGCTATATTATCATTATTTGTATTCCATACATATCCCAAAACTTTGACCTTTTTATCTTTTGCTTGATCTATCTCAGGTATTGAACGATTAACTTCGTCACTATTAGTAATCCATTCTCTCAAATTCATTTTTGCATCACTGAATATCATCTTTGCTTCATTGTATAAAGCAATGCCGTCTTGTACTGTGTCTGCACCTGATATGATATTATCCATATAAATATTTTCTTTAAGCTGTTCTGATAACGGAGTTTTATATTTATCTAGATGACTCTCAATGGTTGCTCCAAGTAGAAATGGGCTTGATATTACACCAAATGGAACTCTGCTGAATCTGTACTGTTGTATATGATTGTCATCAACAATAGGATTTTTATAGTTTTGGAACCACAAAAACCTTGTTACATCTCTTTCCGGTGGTTGTAAGGCAACTTGGAGAAAAGCCTTTTCTATGTCAGAAATAACAGCTATTTTTGGCATTCTGAATCGAAGGATCATACCGCAAAGATCTCTAAGTAACACAGGACCTCTATATAAACATTCATTCAAGCTGCGATATTCTTTATTCACTTTTGCCGACGCATCATAAACGATTCTAAGTTTTGTCGTTGCTTTATCCGGTTTGATCACAACGTGATGGGGAATATAATGCTTTATTTCATCACATATATCTCTTTCAACCTTTTCAATAACACCCTTTTGTAATTGATCTTCAATCACTTCATCGTACCTTTCCATCAAATTTGGCATTTTCTGAATCCTTTTTACAAGTGATTTAAGTCTTCCAACAGCCAATCCTCTATTTTCTGGTAGATCTGATTCTGAAATATCTTCTTTCCAAGGCCACGTGACCTGGTACCTTCCATTTTCTCTTTTGAGTGTGTTTTTAAAAGTTTGCATTGCCTTTTCATCATCAGTTTTAGTAATATTATCTGTTATCCCAATTCCTTCTAAATTCCAGAAATTTTCTATATTTGTTTGCATTTGAAGGGAAGGATCAACTTCTTGAAACACTTTATTTTCTATCACATTTCTGCCATGTGTCATTATCAACATGCTGGCATCATATGTATCCTGAATCGTCTCATCAAGCTCTGTTCGTCCAGAAATAATCCATCCAAATTTTGAAGATAGGAGGTACAATCCAGGACTCACTTTTATTTTTTCTGACTCTATCACATCCAAATAATAGTCATTACCAAGTAATAGTTCTAAGACATCTGATTTTGTTTCTGTTGGTATGCTATCAGCTAGGGTCAAATCTTTTGTGAATTCAAGTAATTTTTGTTTCTGGCTATCTTTAACTTTAGTACGCTGCATCATTCCACTTATACTTGGCACAATATTTGCTTCGATGGTCAAATAATCTCCATTTTTCATTTTCAGATTTAATTTTGTTGTTTTTTGTCTTGATCACTCTCGATCGT